GCTTAGGAAAAGCCCCCCGGCTTCGCCCGGCGCGGGGCACGCGCGCCATCGGATCCGTTACGCTGCCATCTGGACACGCAGCCCCGCCGGGCGGGAAGGGCGGCCCGGCCCGCGCTCCAAACCACGGAGCAGCCAAACGCAGGTTTTAATTAAAAATAAGCATCGCGTTTTCCCCATTTCCCAACTCCTTGCACCGCGGAGCGCTTCATGCACCCACTAGTACGGTAATTAAATTACAGCTGCTCCGACAAGTGTTAGCCCACTGATGCAAAGCTCCAGGCCGGCCATTCCCATCGAAAACGGCTTTCCCGCAAGCACTTTGTCCCTCATAAAAGGCATTAAAAAAAGCAAGGAGACACCAGGCTTCAAACTCAATGCTTGCAGCATTCAATGGGACACCATAATGTCATTAAAGGCAGAATAAAAATACCACAAAGGATTAGACTTTTGTCTGCGCCTGGTTTTTGCCGCTCCCCCCGCCGCCGCCACCACGTTTTTATGCATTTATTTTGGTTCTAGAAAGTTGCTCTGCAGAGCGAGCAGATCCAAGTAAAATTTATACGAGGGAAGGAGAGAAAAGCAGAGCCGAAATGCCCGATTCTTAAAAGCCACATGGATGATGTGTCCCATTTCCCCCACCTCCTTATTAAAATGCTTTCTGGAGAGGCGAATTCCAGCCTGAAATGAATTTTCCAAACCATATTTTATTAGGAATGCTTCCTTTTAATGTTCGGCACAGGAGCCCACCAGGGTCAATATTTCTCCAGAACTGCAGCCGAGGGATTTTGCAGAAGATTTAGCCCGAGTTTTCCGCGCGGCTCCAGCCTCTTTAACAATAGCAGCCCCCGGCCGCAGCCCCCAGCGCTAAGTAGCCAAAGGGCCGATTAAACCATGGCAGCCGCACGCAGCCCCCCCGCCGCAAACGCAGGGAGCCGCTTTCCCCCCTCAGCCCCACGGGCTCAAATCAAAACCACGTTCGCTCACCCAGACCCYGCTAAAGGCTCCGCTCTCGTTCCAGCGGCTCCTGCAAGCGCAGCCGGTTCAGCCCGGACTTGCCCACGGCGCAGGTCTGTGCAAATCACCACCTTTCACGCAGGGAAATCGTTTTCCCCCTTTTTTTTTGGTCCAAGGCACACGTGCTCCGCAGAGGTTTTTCACGGCGCCAGGACAGCAACAACTCCAGTTCTTGCTCTGATTCCCAGCACAAGGAGGGAGTTTCGGAGCATGGTACTGTGGAAAGGGAGCGATGTTTTCAGCAAAGACATCCTTAACTCCTAAAAACACCAGGAAAACATTCCCTCAAATGTTTTACCTGGGTCTTTTTTTACACCAGCACCATTTCTTTCCACCCAAAAACCCMACAGTAACACCCCAAAGTTACAGACTCGCACTCTACGGCAACAACCTGGAGGAAATGGGGGCAGAAAAAATATTTTCACCATTCCCAGCGACCCTATCTAGGCCAAACAGCCCAACACACGACGCTCTTCCCTCCTATCCATCGGAAAATTCCACCTCATGTTATTTTTAAAGGCTTTAGCKCTGTCCTGAAGAACACGAGCACTGAAGGGGGGCTCGCAGGCAAGCGGGCTCCTGCGCAGCCCCCGCGCACGGCGTTTCTCTCCAGCACATCTGCAAAGGGAAAGCAATCCCGGCTAACAAAGAGCACCAGCTTTTGGCAGAGCGGGACACGGATTTTTCTTTTCTTTCTCTCCCTTTTTTTTTTTCTCCTCTCTGTTAAACAGCCTGCAGGTTCCAAGCCTTTATTCCTTTATTTTCAAACTTGCTGGTTCAATCGTATTTGCTGGCAGGAGCAAGAGGAAAGAGGAGACAGAGCACCAAAATCCACCCAACCTGCAAAAAACAGAGGCGAAAGCACCATGGTACAAAGGGAGGGGGGGGGGAGGAAATCAACAGAATTAAAAACAAACAAAAAACAACTCACAAAAAAAAAGAAAACCACAAAAAAGCCCCTCAAAAACACCAAGGCGGCGGCCGTTCCCGGCGCCCCGTGGCCTTCGGCGGCCACCAAGGACACGAGGACCGCGGCTTGGGAAGAGCAGCACGAGGCTCCTCCGGCCGGTCCCGCACCCCGGGTGGCTATCGGCAAAGTCCAGCRGCTCCTGGAGCTTTTCCGGCCACCATCATCACCACGGCACCAAATCCGAGGGTTTCTCCAGCTCAGTGCTCGGGGCTCCGCGGAGCGGGAAGCAGAGCGGGACATGGAGCGGGATGCGGAGCCCGGTGCTGGCTGCTCTGCACGGCAAAGCAGCCGCTTCTCGGGCCCTGCCCTGACCCGCAGCCTCCCGAGCCGGCACCGCTCCGACAGTGACTGGGAATAACCGGGAAAGGGAAAGCAGGAGGCTCGGCCAGGGCCGCCCTGCGGATGCTGGCAAACAACGTGCCCATGCCGTGCCATGAGTAACTCCATGACTTCCTCCTGGAAAACGTCACAGGGAGCCAGAGCAGGACAAGCAGAGCAGGAGAACCAGAGCTCCCAGGTCCGGGGGGTCCAGGGAAGGCAGCACCGGCACCACAGCCACGGGTTTCCCAGCGGAGCAAGGGGAACATCCAAGGGGAGAAGGAAAGCTCCCAGCTGCCCGGCTCGCTATTCCCACGCGCTCCTCCGGCTTTCCCAGCCTCGGCCATTAATAAGAGCRAACTGCACGGAGCCAGGTTGACTTCACGGGGCTCAAGCTTGTCCCTGCCATGGGGTGGAAGCGGGCGAAGGGATCCGGCCGTCCTGCCCGGGCAGCGCCGGCGCCACTGCCAAGCGGTGCCGCCCCGCACGCGGTACCTGCGGGTTGCTCCAGTTCACGCGATGAAGTCAGAGAGATTTCTATCTCTAAGTGCTCTTCTTAAAGCAAAATTAAAAAGAAAAAAAAAAAAAAAGAAAAAAAAAAGGTGGTGGTTTCTGGAACCAATTTGCTTTTTCCTTCTCCCCCTCCCACCTTCGTGCTGACATAGCAGGCTTATAAACACAAAAGATCAATTCCTAAGGGTAAAAGTTGTGGGTTTTCTTTTTTCCTTATTTCCCCTCTCCAAGCTAACAGAGATATCTCCAAAATGGGAGAGGGGGTGGAAATCAGAGMAATCACTGCTTGGGAATCCGCCCGCCACAAGAGACCTTTCCCCGGCTTTTCTAAGGCGCTGGAGCAGAATCCACGAGTTCATGTGCACRTGCAAGTGCCAATAAAGTTGCTCCCTCCCCAAGCAAAAAAATAGCTCGGTTTGAACAAGAGTGTCCAGGTGGAAAACRTGGCCAAGTTGTTTTAGTTTTCCCAGAACCATTTGATTTTTTTTCCTCTTTTCTCTTTACAGGAAGACAGAGGGGAAATAATCAAGATAAAAGCTGGATTTTTTTTTCCAACCTAAGAAGAGAAGGGGATAAGACAAACAAACAGCCTGTGATTTACAAGATAAAGCCCAGCAAGAGGGCTACCAAAAACATCCCCAGATAATCAGTCCCAAAACATCTATCAGTCATTAGTAACCATGTCGAGTGTTTAAAGATCCTTTAAAGCCTCTAGTTACTTTTTAATTCCAGGCATGTTGGAAAAGCGACTTTCATTGTTCGCCTCTCTAAGCTAAGGGCGCAGCTGGGTCCCGGGAGTCGCCCGCATGGATTCCATGCGGAGYGGCCAACGCGGGTTCCAGCGCCAGGTTTCGGCAGGACTTGAGGCAAAGGGGGGCAAGTGCCGGCCCGTTGGGGCCCTCGCGTGCTCCCTTGTCGGCCACCCCCGCACGCGAGCCTCGCTGGGATCCGGATCCTCTCCCGAGCTTTGTCTGTGACCGGACTGGCGCTGCTGGGCTCGGGGAGCGCAGCGAGGGTGTTTACGGCAGCGAGATCCCGGGATGCAGGAGCCCTGGGCGGGGGGCCGCCCGTGCCGGCCTCCCCCGGGAGCACGGCTTCCCATGGGAGGCTCTGAGCGAGTCGGGGTGCCCGAAATTCCCAAACCCGGCCTGGGCACGAAGCAGAGGCCAAGGCCCCGGCGGGTCTCGAGCAACCAACAATCCCAGGGACGGATATTCCCAGAGGCAGAGAAGGAGGAAGGAAGAGCACCTCGCCTTTCACACCAAGAAAAGACCAGACACGTAACCACYAACGTGCCAAGCACTAAAAAAAGCACCTGCTGGATTCCAAAAACAAAATAAAAATATTATATATTCTCCAGTCTTCGGGGCGTTCCTGTAAGCAAGGGCACCTCGAGGAGCTCGGCGCAGCGGCGGSCGGATGAGCAGCCCGGTGGTTCATCGCTCGCACGCAGGGAGCAGCGTTCCTAGAGCTGGGTCTAAGGCGCTGAGCACGCTTGCGCGCTCCGGGTCACCCAAAGCGCCGCGCGCCCGAGGTGCCAGACGGGGCATGATTAAACACAGCCTGGCACCCAAGTTTGCAATCTCTGCTGGCGAGGCCGATCTCTATCCCTGCAGACCAACTCCCAGAGCCAAGGGGAAGGGGAACCCGAGCCAGAGGAGCCGCCCCGGCTGCCGCTCGCAGAGCTCGGGAAGCGGCGGAACGGAGCGATCGGCGCCCAAGTTGCCTTTTGCTCCGGATTTGTCAGCAGGGCCTCGACAAAGGGGCGCGGGGCAGCAGCGGCGCCGCGGGCCGCCCCGTCCAGCGGGGCCGGTCCCTCCGGCAGCCGCGGGGCTCCTCCGCGCAGCCTTCCCCCGAGAACAGAGCCGTTCTGGCCGCGCTCGCGCGCACAGAAGGCGCGGGCTCAGCCCGCTCGCCGCCGCCCCGCGGCCGCTCCGGCACCGGCTTTCGCGGGGAAGAGCGACGAAAGGCACCAAAGCAACCGGCAAAACCTGCCGGGCTCTCGCGTCTCGCACAAAGCAGCCCCGGCTCCCGGCGCTCCGCGGACGAGAAATAAAAAGGGGTTAAAAAATTAAGCCGCAGAGGGGCGCGGGGCAGCCCGGAGCGGGAGGCGGCGGCGCCCGCGCTGCCCCGCGCCGCCGAGGAGCGGCCCCCGGGGCGCCCGCGCCCCCGCGCCCGCACGTACTTGGGGTTGCCGGAGCTCCAGGAGACGGGCTCGAGGCTCTTGGCGAGCGGCGCGGCCAGGCGGCACAGGGCGAGCAGGACGCCCAGCAGCCACCGCCCGCCGCGGG